TGTTTTTTAAGATAATATATTTTTTAATTATAAATTAATATACAAAAAAAATATTATAATCACTTAATGTTATTAAATGGAAAAAAAACAAAACTAAAATTTATTAGATAATTATTAATTAAAAAATGTGACCACAAATTAAAAAATTAAAATGGATAAATTTGTCAATAAAATTAAAAAATTCTAATCCACTAGCGATTTGGTACAAAAAGCTACATAAACTAGTTTTTTCAATCTACTAGTGATTTGGACCATAACCGCTATCCGTTAGTTTCAAAACGCTAAATAAAAATTTTACCAAACATTTTAATTGTAGTAGTTTCGAAATATATAAATTTACCAAACACCTATATTTAGCGATCTAGGTAAAACCGCTAACCACTACCTCAAAACCACTATACCAAACGGGGCCTTAATCAGAGGTGAACAACTTTAATTTAAGATCAAATGTCATTGGATCAAAATAAAATAAAATTTTCTTGGGTTTGAATGTGTAATTCATAAGAGGCGAACAACTCTAATTTAAGATAAAATGCCATTGGACCACAACGAACTACCCTATTAAGGTTAAATTTAATCAATAACTACTTATAAATTGGAATGAAATGAACCATAATTCTCTTAAATGATAAGATTTTAAATTTAAATATTATAAATAAATAAAAAATTTAAATTTATATATTAAAGATATAAATTAAGAATCTAAAAAATAAAAATAATATTATTATATAATTAAATTTATCTACATAATATTTTTTTTAATAAATTTATAAGAGATCAAATTTTAACCGTTACCCTGAAATGAGGGAATGTATTTACACGTGACCTGACATCACTTAACCCAAAAACCTAATTGCATCTACATAATATTAATACTAAAATTAATATTTATTTTTATATTTTTTATACACATTTATTAAAAACAATACTCTTAACTTGAATTCATACCACTCCACTCTGAATTAATTCACCTAACTGGGTTAAAATTAAACAGTAAATTTTATTTTAATATTAAGAAAAAAAAGAAATAAAAAAATGAAGAAGATTGCCCACCCAAATAGATCGATCCGCAGTCTGTACCGCATCTCTTTCGCATCGCATCGCATCCAGGTTTTTTTCCGGCTTCAGCTACCGACGAACGAGTCCTCCAAGGTCAGCACCGATTCTTCTGCAACATATTTCATTCCTTATATTTTAATCTTCATTTCCTTTCCTGATTTTTCATTCCCATCTAGCAACTTCGATTCCATCATCTTCCTCTATTAATGGATCTCATTCACCTTTTTCGATTAATTTAGGAAGCTCAATCTAGGGTCCTTTGTTATGGATCTGGGTTTTTCCGCTTTCTTATTTCTTCCAGGCCATTGTCTGTTTCTGTTTCGAAACCCTAGGTTCTTGTATGATCAGTAGAAAAAAAAAAAAAAAAAAGCTAAGCAAAATTAGGGAAAAGAAAGGATTTTGAGATCTGATTTTGTATTGGTTTAGTATTCTGGTTGATTAGGATAATTTGTTGCATTTAGGGTTTATCTTTTTGTTTCATCTAGTCTAGATCAGAGGAATACTTTGTATCGATTACCTTTTCAGTTTTCTTGCATTTCCCCAGTAACAAACACGCCTTTAGGTTTGATATTTAGATTCAGTGCTTTTGCATTGGACTAGGATAGCTATTGATGCTTGATTTGATTGATTGTTAAAATTGTATGAGGCATGGAGAACTTATTATTTTTGTTTAAAAAGATGTAAACATGCCGATTTTGATGGTTCTCTTATGGGGTTTTCTTGAATTTTTGTGCTTTGATCTGAATCTGATTGGATTGTTGGGTTCTTATATAGGATTTGAATCTTAAATTCAATGGAGGGATTAGGAGGCGACAGTGCCTCAGTATCATCACCAATATCTCAATGGGGGAACGATGCTTGGAGAGTGTATCAGTATTATCTAGATAAGACGACTCCTCATGCGGTTTATAGGTGGATTGGAACCCTTGTTATAGCTCTTATCTACTGCTTGCGGGTCTATTCCGTGCAAGGATTTTACATTGTTTCTTATGGTCTTGGAATCTATCTGCTGAATTTGCTAATTGGGTTTCTGTCACCTCTTGTTGATCCTGAAGTTGAAGTTACTGATGGGCCTTTACTGCCAACAAAAGGTTCAGATGAATTCAAGCCATTTATTCGCCGCCTTCCTGAGTTTAAATTCTGGTAATTGAAATTTTAACCTTTGTTGCTAAATGTAATGACTTATGCTTTCAATTATGTTTTGCAAGGTAATCTTACACATTTCACCTTTCAAGACAACTTTTTTGCCAGTTCCCACACTTCTACTTCTTTCCATAGCTTGTTTGAATCTATGGGGATTACTAGTTATCAACATAGACTAGTATAGAATCTTCAAGTTATGTGGGAACTTCTGATGCTTCGCTTTAATTGTCTGATGCCTAATATAATTAGCTTCTTTTGTAAGAACTTTTTTGACATATTCATCTTCATACATGCAATGCTTAAGATTCTGACTTAAGGTGGTTCAGTTTTCATTTTTCATTGCTTCATTGTGAGTATCTCACAAAATATAATAGCTTGTCAAACCAAATAATTAACTTCACTTGACTTCAATGATTTTAGATTCACATCCTGTCCTAGTGTGGCTGTTGTAACTATGAATGGAGATAATCTTTTCTTTGCTGTGACCAATACAGGTATTCCATGACGAAGGCTTTTTGCATAGCATTTGTCATGACTTTCTTTTCCATGTTTGACGTTCCTGTGTTTTGGCCTATACTACTCTGTTACTGGATTGTTCTCTTTACCCTTACAATGAGACGCCAGATTGCTCACATGATTAAATACAAGTATATTCCATTCAACGTTGGAAAGCAGGTGAGCTTCAAAGATCTAAAAGTGCTCTTTGCCTTCTGTTGACTCAATCATTAGTGGAAGGATGGATTTCTTATTATGAAATTTTGGTTTCCTGACTGATAACAATCTTCTTTTCTTATAAATTTCAGAAATACACTGGCAAGAAATCTTCTGCAAGTGGCAGCAGCTCTCGTGCAGATTGAAGCTTAGCCATTTCGTAGGGGAAATAGCTAAGGGCCCGAATGGTAAAGAAAAAAAATGTAGGCACCATGAAGACTCATGATAATTGATTTTCAATGTTAGAGGATATGCATTTCTGTTACTATGGAGTTTAATTTTCAGTTGCTACAAGCATAAAGTTCAGTTGTGTCTTGGGAGAAGCACTGATGCCATGAAACTGAAACTTTATTGTTTATACAAATGGTTATGAAGATTTGATATTTTGATCAAAGGTCCATTTTTAGATTTGAGAATGCATCTTGCTGGACAAGGTATCATTACCCTCCTGATTTCTTCTGTATTAGTTAAGTTGTAGTGATAAACAAGACTTACCGGGGGCCATCTCTGGAAAATGTTGTAGGTGTACTTGTTTGTTTCAATATGAAACTACAGCATTTCCTTTATCGTTTCTGGAGAATTTGCAGTTTTGGTACTTGTATGGCTTTTTTTTGTGACCAAGACTTTATTTTGTTTTATTTTAAGAATATAATTTTGGCACTTTAGTTTGTGTGTCTGCCTGCGGCCATATGATAATTAAGGCTATAAACGAGTTAAGCGGACATAAAGAGGAGGATACTTGAACTCTATCGAACTTGATTTAGATTTTAGTGAATGTTTGGTGATGCTTATAAAAGTTTTAGTTTTTTTATATTATTTATATTTCATAAGTTTAAATCTCTTTCTTAAAAATTTATATGTTTTAATTTTTTTTAATCTTAAAAAAGTTTTAAACAAAAATTTTGAAAAATTTTAAATTTGTGCTTTTATAACTTTCATTTTTATTTTTATTTTTTCATTTTTAAAAGTAATTTTTAAATTTTTTTTTCAATAAAAACTTAAATTTATTACTTATAAATAATATAAAAAAATAAAAACTTTTACAAATTTCAGTAAACATATTCTTAAATTC